GTGTGTGTGTGTGTGTGTGTGTGTGTGTGTGTGTGTGTGTGTGTGTGTGTGGTGTGTGGTGTGTGTGTGTGTGTGTGTGTGTGTGTGTGTGTGTGTGTGTGTGTATTCCAGGCTTCTAGTTTTTCAGCGATAATGCTAAATGAGGTGATTTGGGATGCCTGTACGCCGGGCTTGTCTCTCTTGCACTAATTAAAAAGTAAGCCGCCAACGTTTGCAGGGCGCAGACCACTTCTGTCCATTTGTGGCTGGCACCTGAATCTCTCTTTCCAGCCGGCATCACTCCCCAAAACTTTGTGGTCCTGGTTCCTTCCTTTAAAATTTTTATTTTAAAATTTTTCTACCTGGTCTCAGTCGTTTCCCGCCAAGGATACCAGTAAATTAGACGGGTGTAGGGGGTTTAAAGTCTCTGGAGATTCTGTGTGGGGATATATGTTAGTATGAGTGTGCGGACACGCGCATGGCTGAGCTATAAAGCGTGTTTCAGAACACGGAATGATTTAGCAAGCCCCACCTGCACTCGTTTTCTTGGTAAATTGGCTGACAGACTCAAGATTTTCTCAGGCACACCCAGGGTCCCCTAAAAAATCCGATGTGCACTGGCCCTTGCCCTCCCAGCACCCTCCACGCCCTCTCTCAGATTTTTTTTCTAGGCCCCTGAGGCTGTTGCTAAGTGAAGAGCCGTTTAGGAAACTACCCAACCGACTCGCAGCCTGGCGTCCAGTAGCCTGACAGATGTCAGGATTCTTTCCAAGTTTTAGGACCCAAGTAAGCCGTTGTGGTGACAGCGCCTGGGCTGCATATTTCCCAAGACAGAGGATGTGAGGCTGGTCCCCTGCTCCTCCCAGAAGCAGATTAGCTGTTTGTCATTTGATCACACCTTGTCCTGGTTTAAGTGAGCTCATTTTCACATTACATCCTTCTGCCAGATTCGCAGAGGGCTTTTTGGTAGAATCAGACACCTTCTCTCACCCTCTTAGTGACCGTGATGAAATTTATCTCTGTCTAGTGGCTCTGGGCTGGACTAGACAGAGCCAAATAAGTAGTTTACCAAATTCCCTCCAAAACAATAGGAAACTTTTTTATTACAATTTATTATTTCAGTAGATAAGCAAAGTTAAAATTGTGGACCTCGAGATATTCGGGGCGAAAAGGAAACCTGCTATCCAGGCCCTCCTTGCACTGAAGACTAAGACACCAGTTGAGCCAAGTTACTTTTATTAGGAGTCTGTAGAAGTTTCTGAGCAGGTATCTTAACCTTGGTGGCCTCTGTTCCCACAGAGGCTTTCCAGATGGCAAGATATTGAACTGTAGAGTCTTTCAAACTATATTCCCTGTATCTATTAACAACAACAACGAAAAGCAAAATACAGCGGGACACAGGAAGGAAAGAATGAGCTCAGGAGCACTCAGCATTAGAGGCCTCCGGGATTCGGTGGGCAATACCAAGAGCTCTGGATCCCAGTCTAGGAACCGGGCCAAGTGCTTCCTTCTCCATCCCCCCACGCTCCCAGGAGCGTTAAGACTCCCTCCGGTTGGGGTCCAGCCATGGCGGGACAATAGCGCCGTTTGTTGGCTTCATTTGGAAACTTCACCCAGAGGAGCCCCTTCTCGCCCTCAGAGTCTTCCAGGTCGCCTCAACCCTGGAAAGACAAACTGCTTGGCTGCAGGGCAGAACAGGACCGACCTATCCTTGGGAAGCTATTGTAAAACTCCAGTGACCTTGCTGGTCTAGCCCAGGGAACTCCATGTACATAGTTTATCCCGTCTCCCTCCAGTTGCTTCGGGAAAAGTCAGGTGTTCCAAAGGGCCTCAAAACTGCAGAGAACATTTGGTATTGTGCTTTAGAGCTGATAGGGAGAGTTAAATCTGTGTAGGTGCCCGCTGGTTGGGTAGAAAGGATGGCAATATTTGAAGTTTGTTCAGGCCCAAGAGTAGTGCCATCCACGGTAGCTGGTAGCTGGCCCACAGTGCTCTAACTTGTTCCAAGTGTGTTGGTGCCTAGGAATAAATACCTGTTTGAGGATGTGAAAATAACTTCGTTTGGAAACCTTTTCCAGCAGACAAAAGCCGTATATTTCTAAAGTCAATTCTGTCTCTCTCTTCCTTGAGAGCATTGCTGGACCATTTCATTTACCCTGGTACATCCAAGACTGTATTCAGGCTACAGGGGGAGCGCCTTGATCAAGAAGCTTGAATCTATTTTAGAACCATCCTTTGTAAAAAGGTCAGAAAGGTCACTCCTACTGGTGGAAAAGACATAACTTTCCCGTCCCTAGAGCATTATGTGGGACACTCCCTATCCCAAAACCCACACAGCAGAGTGGGGTGGGGGTGGGGCTGAAGGGACCTCTGTCCTTAAGGTCAGAGAAGGATCTGAAGATCCTAGGTTAGTGGATACAGGCTTTAAACAATCTAGTTGATGCTCTCTAAAGAAACACTTGTAGGAGCCTTGAGACATGGAATAGCATTGTTCTGGAGGTGATAAACTGTGGTGGCACAATTTATTCTACTGCCTTTTGGCTGTAGATTTTTGAAACAAGTTTCTGAATTCAATTCATTTACTTAACTGAATGACATGTTGTAGAAACACTGGGGTCTCTCTGGCCCTCACACACTTTAAGGCTCTTTGCTGTAAACATGACTCTTACCAACAAGGATGTTAAGGTATTATTAGTCACCCAATCTCTTTTCCCTAGGTGCGCAGCAACTCTGAGGATTTTGACAGATTTTTGCCTTCAGCGCCCTCTTGTTGACTTCTCAACCAGCATACAGTGCCTTCTTCCCAGAGAGAGGAAAGCACTGCCCAGGCACAGGGTCCCTTTTCAGAGCCGGTCATTGCCCTGTTTGCCTCCTCCTCACCCCCACCCACTCCCACACCTCTGCATGAGCTCTGTAATTCAAATCAACAAACACACACACACACCCCGCGGAGCGACCCCCAGAAACCTGGCTCTGGGATAGGGGGTGGCTACCCTCCCCCTGTGCTTGTCAGGAAAGGGAGTCCACCTCCTTTGCTGATGCAAAGGCATGGCCCTCACTGCTTAAGCAGAAACGAGGTGGTCTGTAGGGATATGGGACCAGGGAAAAGATCTTAAAACTGTTATCTGTCCAGATTTACAATTCCTCCGGGGTCAGGTCCACTAGACTTGACTACCCTTCCCTGGAAAAAAATCAATGCAGACTAGACATCTCCAGTGCCTCTGTGCAAGTTCTTCTGCTCCTTCTGCGGGCGGTGCCTGTTAGCTTTGTGAGGGTTTAGGTAGAGCTTTCCAGGGAAAAATAAATCTCAAGGCAGGATTCAGCTGTTCTTACCCCCGCCCCCATGTTTTTCTTCACTCTTTTTACTGAACTTTTCATTTTCTAAAAAGGTGGAGAGCTATGGAATTCGATACGCAGAATTTCTGTTTTCTCTTGCTTCTTGGCCCAGCATTTCCTTTGGTTACATTATCTTTCGGTCCTACATTTATTATGCGCTAAGTTGTTTGTCTAGTATGCAACAGTGAGACCTTGCCCTTTTCATCCTGCTTTGCAAACTGGAAACAGTCCGGGAGAGGACTTGAGAACTGAGCAAACGGGATGTCACTTACCCCAAACTCCTAGCAGATCCACAGAGAAGTTGGCTCCGTGGGAAGAGGAAGGTCCCCTGCAAGGCTCTGGACTGATTGGGAGTGCTACGGCCCGGGCCCTCGGTGACCCTGCTTATCCTTGCGGGTTTGCGCTTTCCCACGGCGGCTTTCTCTCTGTGAGAGAGCACAAGCTCAGCAAACGCGTCGCACACCTCAGTGCCACTGTCTTGGCCACAGGCTTGCGCAGTTCCCCGGGATGCAACTGTGGCGGTGGAGAGTTAGTGTGCCGCCCATCCGCTCTACTTGCTTTCCAGCAGATTGGGGGTGGGGTGGGGGGCAGACCTCGCAACAAAGCCCATCGGGAGGTTTGTCCACACTGGTGTTTTTTTTTTCTTTTTGTCTTCTAGGCCGCTGTCACCCCAATTCCATTTCCCCAGAAAGCATCGATAGGTTAGGGGACCTCGAAGCTGTGCTAATGTGATGTTTCTGTAATTAACACCATCTCTCCTTGTTTCTGAACATATTTTCTCCGCCCGCACAGCCTAGCTTTCGTTTGAAAGTGCATCGCGAGGAACGTCCCAGTATACTCTTTCTAATGGGGAAAAAAACCCTACCCCTTTTGTGAAATGGTTTCTTTACAAAGTCAACAACCAACCTTATTTTCTAGTTCCAATGACTATCCTTTTATGAGTTATATTATTAAAGAAATCCGACACTAATTGTGCCGATTTAAGTTGTTAATTACTTGCAAATAAACTATTAATTAGTGGTAAAATAAAATAAAACCCATGTATCTAGATATCATTCCACATTCGCATATTGTAGTGTCTGCATAGCATAGGCATACTAAATTAAGTTCCTAAAAGGTTCCTCCTGAGGATAAATAATTAAAATATATTCTACTTTAATTGACATTATAGAGGACATAAATGAACTTTTCCTTTTAGAAAGAAATAGCCATTTCTAAATAAAGCTTGCAGTCTGGAGAATGGAGGCTTCAGCCAAATGAATAGTCATTACTACCTTTTCAACGACGTGGGCCTTTTGATCAGAAAAGAAATTAGCTCTAAAAAACAGACAATGGAAGCCTGCCCTGCAATAGGAAGAAAATTAGACGGCCAAGGCTCTTCACAACACCTATTTCTATAAACCATAGAGCTCCTTGCTTTTCAATTACAGCTGTTCATTTCATATAAGGAAAGGGGAAAAACAGGCCTCTAATGTAAACTGGCTTTCACGGTAAAGCCTTGTTGCTGGCTCGAAGCCAGGCTCCCTACTTACTATTGTTTTTAGTCCTCTCATCAATTAGCTAATACTATATATTTTAAATGACTCTGGGGGCATTCACAGTTTCCCTCCCTACTTCCCCACCCAGACAAAACCCAAGCTGGACTCTCATGAAAGGGCTACCATTCCGTGCAGAGATACTTCAATGTATAAAGTTTAATGTTTTTATTGTTTCTCAAAGAAAAGACATATTGAAAACCCTGTCCCCCCTTCATTTCTTAGTCCATCAGTGAAAGACACAGACGAGGTGATAACAGGGAGGGAGATAAATGAGCAGCTTTCAGGATTGTTTCTAATTGTTCACAGAGCTCACTCCATCTCTACATAATTTTGCAGTGGCCTTTACATCACAATTTGGTTTAGACCGCTCTGTGTTTTAAGAATATAATCTTGAAATTTTCTAGCCCTATTGGCTACATGTCATTAGATACAATTTCATTTTAAAAATACTGCCTTCACCATTTTGGTGAAATTATCTAGCATGAAAGAAAAAAAATGCCACTTTGTGTGGTGTGCTGTAAAATAAAATCATCAACATATTAAAAGTGAGAATAAAGAAAACATTGAATAAGAATGCCCAGGAGTCTTAGAAAGTCTGTACATGTATGTTCTCGAACCGCTACATTAGTCTTGTGGGCTCAGAAGGCTTTACTTCTTTTGAAAATGAATATTAATGATTTGATCTTTCTAAATCGCTAGGGAAATCTCCTGAAGTACTGAAACTGCAGCAGCAGGTAACCAGGGTTTCTTTATGATCTCCTTGTTTACAGTGGTGCTTAGAAAATGCTTTCAGGTCATTTTTAACTACAGCACAAAATAACCAATTTATTCACAAAATAAGAACATATTTTTACATGACTGTAAAGTCATTTAAATAAGATAACACAATGGCTGTGAGTTTGTCACCCCGATGGCAGAATCCATTCCCTTTGTCTTTCCAAACAAATTTAAAGAGAGATTGCTGGCCAATTTGGGAGGCAGGGAGTAGAGCCAGTAGGGTCATTATTTAACATGTTTCCAAAAAAACAGCCCCAGAAATTGCCACCTTAATGTTTCCTGTGTCCCTGCTTTCAGCACTCACCCCTCCTTAAAGAAGGATGCTGCTATTTCATGGCTTCCCACCATATTTTTCCTATCAAGTACATTATTATGTTTACCTTTTGCTTTTGAGTATTAACTTCTTTGTTACTCTGTTCAAAAGGATGTCAGAACACAGCGACAAAAAGCATTTTTTTCCCCAAAGAGAAGAGAGCATATCTGATTTATTTGGCAGCTGGATGAAAGGAATCTTCCTTAGCAATCACATTGCTTTACTTTTCTTCCCTACCTCTGGGCTCCTATAATACAGAATGTATGCAATGAGGAGACCATTCTCTTGCTATTGCAGATGATAGTGTCCCTTTCTCTAGAGCTGGATAGATACTGGCTGTAGGGCTCCTTGCTAACTTCTCTAGATGAAGTGTAGTAGCCAGATTTAGCAAAGTGTACTTTCTCATCAGAGCCTAGAAGCTGTCAGATTAGGCACTGTTCAAGCATTTTCTTGACTCTGGTCTGTGTATTGCAACACCTACACTTATTTCAGACAGAATCGAGTATGTAGTGTGGGCAACTGAATTGGAGTTTGGAAAAGTACCAGACCTCATGGCAAATAAGCTTGGGTTTTGACAACAGCTTTGCAAAAGGGACAACGTATTCAGAAGACAAATAGAAAGAGCTGTTTCTCTCTCTATTTGACAGAAATAGAATCTGAGTATTTCCATGGTTTAAAAAATGAAGAAAACAAAGTGTTTCTAATGTCTGAGGAGAAATGCCCAGGGCTCAGTTACTGTGCAGGTGATTTCCATTTCACCAGTAAGGTCTTGCTTAGATGATAACAAAGAGCATAGGCTCTAGGACCACATGAACATAATCTATTAAGACAAGATCACTATGTAGTTGACATATTTTTTTATTATAGATTGACAATAGCCTGGCACACTTTAACTCCTCTAGTTATCACAGTGGATTAAACAAAGTCCTAATACTAATGGCACTTGCATACTAGTGAGGGACAGGAATGCCAGTCACTGGTGTATCAGTAAATCAGCAATTGTGTGGGGATCAAAGCAAACAAGGGAGTGGAGAGTGACATGACCAGAGTTGATATTTTGGAGTGCTCAGGATGAACTTCTTTGAGGTGATGCTGATGTAGAAATCTAAAGTATACTTATCATCAGTCATCATCATCATCATCATCATTATCGTCATCTTTATTTTTGCTTGGTGATGATTTTTACTTTTCATCTGGCCCTAGAGGTTTGAGACTATAGCAAGAGAGTGAATTCCTAAACCAGGATTGAGACTAGCAAGTCTATCTCAGTCTATACCTAGTGTAGATACTTAAGGTCCTGAAAGTGTAGTCTTGGATTAGATAGAATCTTAAAAATCAATATAGTTGTTTACAAAAGACAAGCCTTAGGGTTTAGATGTGTTAAATTACTATGGTCTTCTAGTGGCCAGAGATCTGGCTACATATTTGCTTGGGTTTTGTTTAGGATGATTCAGCAGGGGCTTGTGATGACCCTGGGAATGTACCTGCTTTCATGTTGTGTCCTAGGTACCTCCCTTGCCTTGCCTGGTCCCAATTATGTCATGGACTGACATTTAATTGGCTTCTAGTAAATCTCTAACAATTAAGCATTAAAGCCTAATTCATCACTAACTGCAAACTTGCTTATCCTCCATTATTTCTTCCCTTCTTTCCCTGCCTCCCTGCTTTTGTTATACAAAGTATTATAGCTCCTAAGCTTGTCTTAAACTTGCTATGTAGTTGAGAATGAACTTGAAATTCTATACCTCCCATCTTCACCTCTTATAACGTTAGGATTCCAGACATGCACAGATGAACCTGGCTTTATTCTGTGGTGCTGGAAACGAAACCTAGGACTTTCTAAATCTTAGTTAAGGAACTAAGATGTATCCCCAACACTTGCTTACCAGTTTAGTTTATTTTGGGGGACACACCAATGATTTTTATTGGGGTTACTTATAGAAGTAAGGGTGAGGGATTACTTGTAGGAACAGCAATGACTTGAAGACAGCTGCATCACCAAAGCCCAGTTTAGTGTGGGTGACAGCTCACAAAACTGGGAACCTGGAGCACACTGAACAGCATGCAGGCAGCTTTAACAGGTTGGAAGTGCCCTT